TTGAATGTCACTAAACAAATGGTTGTAAGTCTATCTGTATGACAATGAATACATTTCCTGAATAAACTGCAGTTGGCTAGCCTTGCCTAATATTGTGTGTCATGAAGAATAACAACTGGGTTCACACAAAATGGTAAGCCAAAACCAAATGAACCACATTATAGCTTACTCTGATATAGGAGCCTCCTCAGAGAATGAGGAACTTATTTCAAGATAGTTCCCCCATCTTGCAATTTGCTGAAAGCTACTTTTCCCCAATCTGTTGCCTTCTACATATGTTTGCCTCTAATTCTGATAATCCTCAGACAACAATGTTAGTGGAATAACAAGAGCTCAAGGCAAAAGAGAATGGAAGTTTCAAAATAAGCTATGTAAACATTCAGGAAAAAAGCTGAGAAATCTCAAATCCACAGGGCAAAATGTGTATTGGGATAAATCAAAAGGCAAAAGTTTAAATGCCTCAGATTATTCATGAGGATTTGAAAATTTGAAAAGCTTGTCAATTTCCTACTGAGTTAAACATAAAATGTGATTTGATATGAGTATTGTACCTGGACAAATAAAAATTCACTTAAAAGATAGTTCCCTTCTTAAAGGTACAGGGGGGCCAAGAGCTGGACTTTTATGGAATTTATATTCAAATAATTCTGCCTCAACCCATCCTTGATATTGAAGTTTCCTCATGAAATTGCTTGAATTTTTGTTTCTATTAGAAGCCACCACAAGTAACTGTGTTTTATTTTATTTATTAAATGTGTATGTCATCCATCTCATCATTGAGCAACTCTGAGTGACTAAGTTTATACGACACATTGTGTTATACAATTCCAAAGTAGCTAGTGACACTTTAAGTGTTCAATGCAAATACAACTCACAAAGTTAATTTGGTTCCAGTAGGTCATATGGGATGCTAGGTATCTTAGATCAACACTTTAAGAAACATTGACGTAGTGAGATATGTTGTTATAGTCCATCAAGTCATTACTGAGTCTAGATGACTGCAATATTTATAGAAGTGGTTTGCCAATACTGTGTTCCTAAGACTGAATGACGACAGCCCCAAAGTCACTCAGATGGCTTTTGTATCTAAGGCAGGACTGGATCATACATTCTCCTGGCTCCTAATCCAACATCTTTAAGTACAACTAGCTCTCTTAGTGGGATTTATTTTCAAAAAAATACTATATATCCTTACAGTCCAATTCTAAGAACATTTGCCCATATATGTTCTACTGGACATAATGTGAACGAACATGCTTTGGCTTGTATTCCTCTTATATTACAGATAGTCACAGAGTCAGAATGTTTTAGCTGAGGTAACCTCATTTCAATCAAGGGGCTAAAATGGTTCCTTCCTGGTTCCTCCTTCAGTCTCCTCTGCAGCCACTATATACCAGCTCTTTAAAATTAGATATGTTGTAGACACATAATCCTGAGAAAAGGACATGGCACAATGAAGAAAGTGCTACATCGCAGCCCTTCTTGTGAACATGTGATGTACAAAAAAACCCCAGCGAGAATAAAAATAGCTTTAATAATTAGAATAGAACAACAACTAAACTTTACAGGGAAAAGAGGTTTGTACCCAAGCATATTTTCACATTATAGAAAGAAATACTGTATTACTGTATTAGGGCAATATCTATCTTTTCATAAAAATAAGCTGAACATCTCCAATTAATTTTTGTCCAGACATGTCGCATTTAAAACATCCTATTATATGAATCTATATTAACTCAATAGTGTGCTATACGACACTTACCCATTATATTACACTATAATTTTATTTTTAAATGGTTTATTTTTAAATTAGTTTTTAGATTGTGGCTTGCAGTTTATGGTGGCTTATTCAACAAACCACAGCTTATGATGTGTGAATCAATATAAACTGTGTCCTTTTGAAATAGACATCTTATTTGCACAAAAGGAGCCTATTTATTACATGCAGCTCCTTTAAGCGTAGTTCAGCTTAGCTGAGGGTTTCCTGAACGTATCCAGGTAGCTTTTATTGACACCAGCACGCAAGTGCTATATATCGCTTTTTTCTGGAATATTGTATCCCTGTAGATACAAACATGTAAACTTTTTTAGGCTTGTTGTGGAAGACTTTCTAAAATCTGAAGGAGTTCTACAGTTAGTATTGCTCTTATGAATAAATCCTCCATGTTACTGCAAACTGAAATCTGATAGAGACCTTGCCATATCAGTTTGCTTAATCATGACATTGAATAAATCATAATTGGTCAGCTTGCCTAACACACAGCCCTAAAATATGGTTTATTCAGTAAGTTCACCAAGAGAGTAAGCCAAAACCCAACAAACTAAATAACTTGGTACATATGAGAGGGCAGGCTGCTTGCAAAGTGGTCAGCACCTGGGCTGCTGTTGCCCTGCCCCCTAGCCAGCATAGCAACTGGTGGCTAAAAAAGCTGAGCAGAGAGGTAACTATAGATGTAGTGGTGTTAGAGTGGTGGTTAAGAGGGAAAGTGGTTTGTGTTCATTTATGGAAATAAAGCCTGAAGCAGCCTAAGCCAAATGTTCTCCAGTAGTAGGACTCCCAAGGAGGAGTAGTGGAGCTGTAGTAGAACTGGGGGAAATGGAGTAATGAACAGTAAGTACTAGCCTTTAATTGCTTGTGTGTGTGTTGCTTAGAGACCTATGGGGTTGTGTTGGCTTCTCTGGGGTTTTGGAGTTTCAAAATTGTTACCACCCAGATCAAATTGAAAACCAAATACACAGAGAAAAGCAAAACCATTTAATACTGGGGGCAACTTTCTATCCTGCAGAAAACTGTCATAAAAAGTTAAACGTATCCTATTTTCCATCCCCTTCGCCCATCTGCTCAGTGATCCATGTTCACCCCATATATTTTCACTATTCTAGAAACAGTGGGTTCCATTTTCAGGGCAATTGATTTCCTCCATAATATTTCTCTGTTTACTATGTCAGATGCTGCACTAAGGTATATAAAGGCAGCAAACAGTTGTTTCCCCTTACATATTTTGTAATTAGATGATTCAATAATACACTTTTCATCTATCCAACTCTGAACTCTACTCACGAGGAACCTAGCATATATTTTAGCTGTAATACCTATTAAGCTAATAGGCCTATTGTTGGTAGGATCCTTTTTATTATGCTGAGTCTTCTTTCTCTTTGACATTAAAAAAGGCACAAGACAGGGATGTCTACTATCTCCATTATTATTTATATTAACACTGGAAGTTTTGAATAGAAACATCAGGCAATGGGGACTGGAGATAAAAGATGAAAAATATAAACTATAAGCATTTACTTGATCTCATTTTCTGATACTGATGTACAAAGGGTTGAAACTTAGACACTGTTTCTCAACTGGTTTTGAGATAGCAAATAGGCATGGATAATAATTTTCCAATTTCCCATTCCCTAGCAGAGATGGGAATCGACGGGATTCCAGCTACCAAGTGGCAGAATACAGCCAAATTGTGGCTTTTTGCTGACAACTCAAGTCCCGACCAAATTGAAGCAGCATAACTTTTTTCCTTACTTTTAGGAGTTTTTTTTATTATTTGCTTTTTAGAGACAGCATCTTAATTTATACTTAGGGGCATGCCACTGGGCAAGTCTTATAGCTGTTTTGATTTTTTTTTTTTCAGCAGGAGACATTAATTGTCAAACCAAGGAGGTCTACCTATATGGGCTTCTTTTGAGGTGAGGATTTGAATATTATATGTTTCTTCAACACGACACAAATTACTAAATGCATTGGAAACTGACTGGGATTGGCCATGAGTGATTGGATTTTTAAGGCCCAACTGACAGCATTCAGTATTGCCTTAGTATCTACTTTGCACCATATTACCCTTTTATTTTGACTCACCTCTGAATTGTTAATTACTCATCTATCAGTTGTGTTAAAAGATCTTAAATCTGATTTCACGCTCACTGGCTAATAATCGTTCTCCTCTTGGATGGACAATGACTTCCGAGAAGAGATTGGCATTACATCTTGATGCACAGATGAGATCTAATACACTGTTCGAGTAGGCTGAGTCAAATGTGTATGGTATATGGTAGAGGACAGGAAGACCTGGAGAAACGTTGTCTATGGAGTCGTGATGGGTCAGACAAGACTTCGCAATTAACAACAATTAACATACATAATTGTTATCCGTAGCTCCCCAAATCTGAAGATTACATTTAAAAACCAGTGACATCAAATTTAGACCAGCAGAATTATTTTTGTTATCTCTTATAAATCACTGTGGATGATTATAAAAAAATTTATTTGGCAGTAGAGTAAGATCTTGCAGAGATTGGTCTAGTTCAGCATAAAAATCACCAAACACAGGTAAGTCCTTGACTTGCAACAGTTTGCTTAGTGACCGTTTGATGTTACAATGGGACTGAAAAAAAGGAACATTTTTCACAATTATGACTCTCGCAGCATCCCCATGATCATTGATTTACATTTGGATACTTAACAACTGACTCACATTTATGATGGTTGCAGTGTCCTGGAGTCACGTGATCCCTCCCCTTTTGCAACCTTCTGACAAAGTCAAAAGGAAAACCAGATTCACTTTAACAACCGTATTACTAATTTAACACCTGCAGTGATTCACTTAACAAATGTGGCAAGAAAAGTCGTAAAATGGGGCAAAACTCAATAAATTTCTCACTTAACAACATACATTTTGGGCTCAATTGTGGTCATAAGTTGAGGAGTGCCTGTAATGTGATTATGGCTTAAGTATGCAAGGTGGCTATTTTCCCCAAAATTATTTCTAAACATATCCAATATTCAGAGTTATAATAAGGGGATGTATTTGGGCAGAATATAAACATTTACCAATATCAGCTCAAACTTTTTGTATCCAAATTTCACGGTCAGTATATGTTTTTATCCCCATAATATAGTTGTTCTCCTTGCCATTGCAATTTTTCCTTAGTAAGAATGCATAAGCCCCCAGAAACTCACCCTTTATTTTTTTTTATTTCTGGTCAGGGAGATTTACCATTATTGAGTTGCACTAGTTCATCCTCAGAAGCTAACCAAGTTTCTTGTAAGCCTATTACCCCAAATTCAGATATGAATCTCACCAAATCATTGTCAGCGGATTCACTCCAGCTGGCCATATTCCAGGTTACAATGTGTAAAAGTCTTTCAGAAATAAAATGTTCTGGGAGAGGTGTCTGGGTAAGAGGTGAAGGTTTGGGCAGTCAATTTGTGTCTGACACTAGGACAATAATGTCAATACTCCCTGTATTTATACAATTATGTGTAATTGTGTAACATTGTGATGCAATTCAGCTTTCCTCTCCCTAGATTGTAGAACTAAGGAGAAATTTCCAAACAGTGAGAACAATTAACCAGTGGAACAGGTTGCCTTCAGAAGTTGTGGGTGCTCCATCACTGGAGGTTTCTAAGAAGAGATTTGACAGCCATTTGTTCAAGGTGGTATAAGGTCTCCTGTTTGTGCAGGGGATTGGACTAGAAGACCTCCAAAGTCCCTTCCTGTTATTTTATTACTTGTGGACCACTGAGGTCAAAGTGAGGACTGTTAGGAGTATATCCGACAGCTTCTGCACTTCCAACTGGTGCACTGGAACAGCCTACGCCAGATATTCAAGTTTCCTTTAATAAGGCTAAGATGGAATTTTGTGGGTGCTGAACTTACAAACTCAGTGATTTGCGGGGCTAAGTTTGCAACCCCAATATGATTTTACTTTCTTCAGTAATAAAAGCTAGTTGTCTATCTGACTGCCTGTTTTCAATTTGTATAGAACACTCACTCATATTAATGCTGCTTTTATAGCCTTCTGCATAGGGCACAGAAACCAGATCAGTTAGTGGGGCACCTGTATCGTACCCTGTAGTTAAAGTTTGTGGAGCTTCCTCTAACTTCTTTAGTAAGTCCTCGGACTGGCAAAGTTCCAAAAGTGTCAATTATTTCTGCCTCCAGTGTTTCAGCTGCAATCTGCCCTTCTCTCTCTGCCTCAGGTTGCTTACCTAAATAGGCTTCTCACAAGGACAAGGCTGGTTTGTTATCTTGGCAGGACCAGGGGAACAGCATCCAGTCCATGTTTGTCAATTAAAGCAATAGTAGCCTCTTGATGTAATGACTTGATGAGGGGGCTATGTCTCACAAAATATATCCTATGGAGAATATTAGGAAAGTAGGCTTCATTTTGAAAAGCTTACTTGGAATTATAGAGTGTTTAAATGTCAGCAAAATTCACTTATGTAGATAGCCACTCTACTGAATGTAAGTCTATTGCATTGTACTAATATAGAAGTAGTTGACTTAAGCTGTAATATATTGCTTTCTTTGAACTCCATCATCCACTGTTGAGTCTATTAAGGGTGATTTGTAAATAGATCTGTTTTCAGCCCTCCTGTACCTCTCAGGATTGGAGAGGGGGGGGAGATTTATTTGGCGTTTGTTCTCTTTTCCTTATCAGTTCAGCTATAGTATCTTTGTTTTGGGTTACAACAACTTGAGGAATTTTGGGGCATAGGGTTTCCTGTTTGGACAAGGTAATTTAATTTATTGTAGAAGGATTAGGTAAATACATCAAGGGACTCTTTCAGTGATTCCGCTTTCACTTTTATTTTTGCTAAATGGTCAAAAATTGTTGGTACGGTCAGTTCGCTGCCCTTAAAGAGCATTCAGAAACTTCAACAGGTGCAAAATGCAGCTCCATCGGTAATAAATGGTACCGTTTGAAGTTGCAACAGCACTGAAAAAAGGGACTTGTGACTGTTTTTCATACTTATGACCACCCAGAGACACATGGTTGAGTTGGGCAGCTATAGAAATTGAATGAACGAATAAGTGAATGGATAAAATCGTAGTCAAGCCTACAGTTTGGCATTCCCTGTTGTCTCCCCTCCAGGTAGTAACAAGCCCTGAATCTGCTTGTTTAATGAAGCTTAAATATTTCCTCACCTTTTATTGAATGCTTTGCTGAGCACTGATGAAAATGAATTATTTTACATACTGCAGAATGACAATAATGTTATCCACCCACATGTAAAAGAAAGCTGGAGGCTTAACAGAGTCACAAGTTTTCAAGAAACACATTATGGACATTAGTCCATAAGAATTACACCCCCCCCCCCATTTTAGTCTCTATGTAACCAAAACTATAAAATCCAGATTTTTAAAATAATAATAATAATAATAATAATAATAATAATAATAATAATAATAATAATAATCAGAAAAAATAATCCTAAAGAACAGCATGTGTGCTTTCAGAGCAGCAAAGGACTATCAAATATTGTGTTTTCCATAAATGTGGGAAGCCATTAATTTTAGCCACTTTTTCATTGATTATCTGCCATCAGCTTGCTGCTAATTCTTAGAAACCACACATGGAGATTTCCTGTAGGATGATCTGCCCCATCCTGGTCCTTCAGGATGTTCCCAATGGTACATCCATCATTGCTACATTCAAATTTTAGTCACTATTGGATTTCAAATACATCCCAACTTTGGATTTTAAAATGGGCCATAAGCTAATAAAATGCCTTTCCACATCACCTATTAGCAAGTTAGGCTGAACTTCGTATCCACATGCAATTTGCAGGGTTTTTTTAAAAAATAAAATAAAATACAACACATACTTTGCAAGACACCCTAAGGAAATGAATAAGCTTTTCCTTTAGACTGAGGGGGAAGTGGGGGGGGAGGAAGGGGGAGGGAAAGTCCTGGAGATTATCTGCATTTGAAAAGAAGTTTGCTTAGAAAGTGTGATGTGGATTTCAAAGAAGCAGAAGCAACAGAGGCCTATTTACGCCCTTAGATAAAAAGGGTTAGCGAACTTTGTAGTATGTTACTGTATGAAAGCATTAGGTCAGCTGGAAGGGAAATATGGGGAATATATTACAAAGTGAAGTGGTTACATATAATTACCCAGTAGAATCAGGCACAGGCTCAAAATAAGGAAGAAAAAAGGATATTCTAAATACATCTTAATAATCGCCACCTCAAAGCAAGCTAAACAAACAAAATATCTTAGTCACTGAAAGGATGTGAGGAGATAACCTGAACAGGGACTGCTGAATTGGATTCACCCTCCTGCACAACTCTGTAGGAATCACCCCCCCACCCCCCAAAAACCCCTGACCTTAACCATTCTGTAGATTGAAATGTCAAGTCAGAAACAGGGCAGAAAAAAAAATCTTATATTCCTTTTTTTAATAGGAAAAAAAAACCCCATGCTTAAAGCCTAGCCAGTGGATATGAACGTTAGGCTAAAATAGGAACAAATATATAGAAAAAAGGATGAAGGTAAATATTGAAATGTTAAGATGTATGAAAGGAAAGGGACTGTTTATAATTAGGACTGTCTAGCAGATCACTAGACAGCACTCTGCCCCAACTCTGAAAGGGCAAATGGGACAAAGTTGTTACTGAATGCCCCAGCAGCAACAGCATTATGGAAACTGGAAGAACATTACTTGAAATTAAGAAGGTATTCAACTAATATTTGAAATACCATTTGCCATCTTCCTGTGTATATCATTTAAAGTGGCAGAGCCTACTGGCAGAGACAGATCTATACTTTGCTGCCAATTTTCCTTTGACACCGTCTTCCTCCTCTCCACCACCACCGTCTCCCAGCCATCATGAATCTTGATTTTTTTTTCAGATTTTCAGGATTTTGTAAAATAGAGATCCTCTTAAAATGGCACATAGCGAAACAACTCCTTTTATACTACCACAGATTGAAAACCTCAAATTTCAATTTGGAACATATATATTGCAGGGTTAGCTCTGGCAATGCATTCCAAATGTAATCTCTCTCTTTCAGAAGCTTCTGTTCAAAGACATTAACAAGAATGCCATCAGATTGGAGACAGCAGAAATCCAGATGATCTCAAGATGATCTCAAGGATTAGAGTTTGCCTATCTATTTTCTGCCGTCAAATGCTCACCTGCATTGTTGTAGCCCTGATCAGGTGAGCCCTGTTTTTAAAATGAGTTTTAATGATTTCAGCTAGTTAATTACTTTCCCATACTAGAATTTAACACAAAGCACCAAATATTGCCTTGTGACTCCAACTTCTATAATGCTTTGTCTGTTGGTGTTGTCAGCTGTGTTTTATCCTAGTAAGATTCTCATTTTCCCCTGTCAGTGTCGATTCTACTACTCTATCAGTGAATACGTCTGTGGAATACACAATGTCCCCACTGGGGCCTGCTTATGAATTTCCATTGCTTAAAGATGAATCTTTATCTCAGTCTTAAGTCACCAAAATATTTAATTTTTTGCATCCTGTTTAAGATAACAGCAGTCCAAAGGTTTGCTTTGGCCCTCTGGTTACTTCTTTACCACTAAGCTGTATTTGAGTCACTACAAAATCATGTCTTTTTCTTCAGTGGTGGTTGTTTTCCTTCTGTCAATTATGTGCTTCCTTCCTATTGACAAAGACAAGCAGTTGGGTGCTTAGTATAAGATTGACACAAACTATATCTCTCACCATGCAATGAAGCACATTTAACCCAGAGTCAACACAATTACTCACGCCCTCAAAGTTAATGTGTGCTTAAATGCTCCACTGAGCTAAGTCTCAACAACTCATTTCCTCTCCACCTCCCAAGAACTGCCTTTCCTTATACCCTGCTGCTGTTGTTTTCAGCACAAGCATGGGCAAAATTAAAAGAGGATAAAATAGGTTCACAGTTTCACTTTTAGGAATCATTATCACAGGAAAGTGCTAAAAAGGATTGGGTTAAACGGTTGCTGTATCTTTGGCACCTTCTGTCAAGGTAATTGTAATTTAATAGCTGACTGACAAAGGTGATGTATAGAGAATGAGTCAGCAGAGTATTTGGGGGGGTGATGTCCCTTTAAAAGACTGTACCTGAGGAGAATGACAGTTGGAACCTTGCACCTCACTTGAACCGTTTGAATAATAACTGACTACCTTGTATGATGTAAGCTCCCTGAATGTCGTTGTTTCATGTTGTCTGTTAAACCAGTTATTTTGATAAACCACTGCCAGATGTTTGTGATCCTATGTTGTCACAAGAAGAAAACAAGAAAAAGGCTGCCATAATTTATATTTTAAACAACACCTTTGAGTCCTCTCTTTTATGGAAATGATTTTTTTTCATGGACATATT